TTTCTCACTTCTTACATAAGATTCCATGCACTCTGCCTAACAGTTGACCATAAGTCTCAGCATCTGCTTTGATAGTCTGCAGGGCAGAGCCTTTCAGAGGCTCTCTGGGGAAGGTTCCTAGGTTGTTTCCTATTTTCTTCTTCTTCTTCAGATGTCCATCCTCTTTGCCTTTTGGGATGGGGATTGAGCGTTTTAGTCAGGGTCCTCTCTCTTGATTAATTTCTTTAGATGCACAGATTTTAGTAGGTTTATCCTATGTTATATGTCTACATGAGTGAGTATATACTGTGTGTGTCTTTCTGCTTCTGGGACAACTCACTCAGGATGTTCCTTTCCAGGTCCCACCATTTACCTGCAAATTTCATGATTTTCTTATTTTTTCATTGCTGAATAATACTCCATTGTATAGATGTATCACAATTTCTGCATCCATTCTTCAGTTGAGGGGCATCTGGGCTGTTTACAAAAACACACCTAAGTCACAAAGATAGACATTGTGATGGCTATTCTTGAGTTTTAATTAATTCTACATATAGTCAAATTGACTAAAACTCAAGTGACTAGATATATTTGTGAGGGATTGTTTTTCTTAATTATATCATTTGAATTGGAAAGACCAACTTTTATTCCAGATCTTCTGAAGTGGCAAGCAGCCTATATAGTGGCCATTCTGTATTTCAGTGTATACTAAAGACCAGCTAAGACAACCAGCCTCATGGACTAAGCAACTGCTGGATTCTTGGAGATTCTTTTGCTAGACAAGCATTGTTGGACTAGTTGGACCACAGCCTGTAAGCAATTCTCGTAAATCCCCAAAATATGATATAAATATGAATATATATATATGTATATTCATTCTGTCATTTCTGTTCCTCTAAAGAATCCAAACTAATACATTGGACAAAATAAATCATTTTAATGGCCTAGAAAAAAATTTAGTCTTTCAGGATAACTTCAAGCTGTCTTTTCATCTAAGCCTAAAAATGATATGAAACATGATATCAAAAGCAAGCATGTTGCTTTTGTTTCATTTTGTTTTCTCTTTCCAAGTTTTATGTTATTATTAGATCAAAGCTTTATAGAAAATAAATTAATGCATTATTTAAATATTTATTGAATACCTACTATGCATTTACTATGCTTTCTACCACACTGTGCTAATGCTTTCTATCTAAAGTGTGAAAATTACATTTCCTACAAATTGGACATTAATTCATGTTGATTAATCAATAATACAGCATTTTGGATGGGATTTTCTATATTCTTATCATCTAAAAATAAATGCCTATGTTACCATCATCAACATGGCATTCTTTTCTATAGCACTGAGCTTAGAATAGAAGGCAAGGATGGTATAGCATGCTTATCATCCTAGCACTTAGGAGGCTGAGGCAGGATTGTCAGATCCATCTATACAAGTCAGGTTGAGCTATATAAATACTACCAAGTCAACCAGTGTTACTACATAGGAAGACCTTCCTCATGAGGAAAAAAGAGTTTAGAATAGAAAAAAATTGTGGGGGTGGATGTACATGCATATGTGTGTGAAAATTTTTGTAAAACTAAATCCTTGTAAATTGCATGTCTAAGTTTTTACCTACATAGATGAAAAATGCATGATGAAAACTGCAAGAGGATACATAACATAGAACAACTTAACAGAAACAATTTATTGGGATCAGAAATATTAGCACTGAAGGTCTATCTGCAAGGAAAGGACTCAAGAACAAAGAGCAGCAACAAGTGTCTGCTAAAAAAAGAAAGAATGGAAAAGAAAAAAAGCAAAGGAGCACATGGAAAGTACTTCATGTGTTTTATGTAATGTTAGATTCCACCATGAACCTGTAGCTACTGGTTTGTAAGTCTTATTTACTGGTCCTTGCCTGAGATAGAATGCTAATCAAACTAAAATATAGTATCCCCACCTCCAAGTGGTCATATTGAATTCAGGGTCAGTAAAGCTACTTGGTATTTGGGCAATAAATATGATTATGCAAAGTCTACTGCTCTTTAATTTTTCTAAAGCATGTGCTACAAAGAATTATAATAAGTGAATGGGGGGATATGTACTTGGAAATGTCTACATGAAAAGTTCTGTGTGCCCATTTCAATGAGTTTGTTGTTAATAAAGGAATCAAGTAGCAAGAATACACTTTCAACTTCATAATTAAAGTGAATGCAGAATAGGACTGATTCAAATTACAGCATGCTTTAACCTATCCAATATTTTCAACTATTTCTATTAAATTATGTTGTAAGGTGGGTTGAGTAACAATACATTAGCTCATTAACTTTGAGAGTCTAATAACCTGTGCTCTCCAAGAATGGCTTCTGAATGCCCTCATTTATATGCATTTGATTCACTCACATAAGTTTTCCAGAGAGAAAAACAAAACTCATAATTTAAAAAGTGCTAGTAAGACAATACCACAATAATTCTAAGGAATAATATCACAATTATGTCTTCAAATTCTGACTGCATAAATCCAAACCTACTTTAGGCAGGAACTTGTAAAAATAACAGGCAGATGGTATGTAGAAATTCATGCTGTTAAAAAAAAAAAAAAGCAAAATATTGTGCTTTGCATTGGGCAAGATTCTTCCTTAAAAGGAACTCAGGTCTCAATACATAAGCTCTGTCCCTTTATTTCAATGTACTTTATGAGTTACCCATAAGTCTGGGTGCAGATAGTCATGTTGTAGGAAGGTTCTAAAATCATGTGCCTCACCCCTTTCTGTACTTGGGGGGAAAATGGGCTTCCTGGAACAACTGGTACCTCTTGGTCTGTTCAAGACACTGTGGTGACTACAGAAATAAAGCTGAACCTCATCTTTCATCAATGTATTGATCCATTTAATCAGTCCAAACAGAATTACAGATATTCACTCACTTACTAAATAATTTTACTAAAGTTATGGCTCCATATTCAAAACTTCTGACTTCTCATGTACAGTTAATAAAAATAATATCAAATATAAAACATTGAGCTAGAAGTCTTCTTGATAGCACATTTATTGAGACAAAATTCATGTCATACAATTCATTCACCAAAAGCATGTAATTCAATGGTTTTTAAAATATATCTACAGAGTTATGCAACCACCCTCTCAATTAATGTTAGATCCTTTTAATCATATCTAAAATTCGGACCTAAGACAACCCAAAATCTGACTCATACCATCTATTCTTAGGCAATTCACCTAAATTTGTTAATATATTCAAAATACATTGTGCAAAATTCTCAAGACTTAATAAAAACACATTTAAAAACAAAACTCTGTGGCCCTGCATTCAAACTTTAGTACCGAGGGGAAAAGAAAGAGGAGTTAAAACAAATGGCATACTAGTTTTCACATCCACATTAAGCTTAGGAAAATCTTAAACTATTTTCTATTTTTAAAAACATGTCTCTTCTGTATACTTTATATAACGAGGATCTTATGTGGTATTTTCTGTCTGGCTTTGCTCTTTTATTAGTGTTTTTAAGATTTATCAATATTGCAGGATCAGTCAGTACTTCATTTTTATAGCCAAATGAAACTCTCTGGTATGCTAATATGAAGTTTTTAATTCATCAGTTGATGGATATTTGTGCCTTTGGCTATAATAAATGATACTAAGATGAATGTGTGTGTACAAACTTTTATGTGGATCTATATGCTCAACTTTCTTGGGTATGCATCTAGTAATGAAATTGTGTCAGATCAAATGGTAATTCAATGTTTAAGTCTTGACAGACTTCCATGCTCTTTTCCAAAGCAGCTGCAGCCACTTAAAACCCTGTGTGTAATATATGAGGACATCAATTTCTCTACATTCTCACTCAAACTAATTATTATCTGACTTTTAAAAATAGTCATCATCTTAGGTGAATTTTATCCTGTTCAAGGAGTAGTCTTCATTTTTTTTAATAGAGTAGCACTATGTAGTCCATTACATTACATGTAAGTAAGGCTGGCTTTAAACTCAGAGATTCACCTACTACTGTCACTGTCCCTGCCCCTGCCCCTGCCCCTGCCCCTGCCCCTGCCCCTGTCCCTGCCCCTGCCCCTGCCCCTGCCCCTGCCCCTGCCCCTGTCCCTGCCCCTGCCCCTGCCCCTGCGTATATACCTCTTCCTTTGCATCTTTGTCCCTGCTCCTGCTTGTAAGTGCTTGGATTAAAGGCATGCACTTCTACACCCTATTTTCTTGTTATCTCAACATTTCTTGTGGGTCCCAAACATTTGCAATATTGAAGTCTAATTTACCTATTTTGTTGTTTTTGTTGTTGCTCATATTAGAGCAGTGATAGAGTCAGGCTTTTGGAGGTTTTCTAGTTTGAGTTTGAACACCTATGTCTTTCATTCATTTTAAATCAGAGTTTGTATATGAGATGAAGGTCCAACTTTTTTCCATATGGTTTTCTAATTGTCTGGGAACAATTTATTGAACAAAATGTACTTCATTCTCATTGAAACATTTTGGTATAAGTTTGTAAGAAAAATGTGTTGTTGAACATGGTGACATGTGACTGTAATTTCAGAACTTGAATGGTAGAGGTAAGAGGAAGATTATTCTCAACTACATACTGAGTTCAAACCAGGCAGAACTACATAAAACCTTTTCTCAAAAGGATTAAAGAGAAAGAAAGACGGAAAGAAAGAAAAAAGGAAAGAAAGAAAGAAAGGAAGGAAGGAAGGAAGGAAGGAAGGAAGGAAGGAAGGAAGGAAGGAAGGAAGGAAGGAACTGTGTCTGAAAAGATGGTTCAGTAGTTAAGAGCACTTGTCTGACCCAAGAACTGTTCTCAAAACTATATATATATATATATATATATATATATATATATATATATATATATATATATATAT